AATTTGTGTTTCAATAAAGGGTTGGTGAAGCCAGTCATGTCGCGTGTTCTGTGCAGGAGGAGGAAAGGTTCTAGGTTCTTGTGTTCTGTAGGAGGAAAGGTTCTAGTGTTCTGTATTGTGTTTGTGTTTCGTTTAGCTGTGATTCGAACCTCTTGTACTCATGTGTTTAGTTGAGATTTAAGTGTGAACTCCTTGTTATTGAATCTCTTTGTGTAAGTGAGATTCGAACCTTCAGCTAATGGAATCCAAACCATCACTTCATGGAACCTTATGTCCCATTGTGGGTTCAACTCATTTTAGGGAATATTTGTATCACGTTACAATCTGAACCCCTAGATCATGGTCAACCTTTGGTAATGAGATTGAACCCCATGATTACCTGGAAAACCTGTGTATGCCTGAGGGTTCGAAGCAGTGACAGGTCATTAGTTAACACAGAGATAGAAGAATGGGGAGAAATGGATTAATTAAACTTAACTGGTTTTTAATTACCGTTAATTAACCTCTTCTGTCATATGTGATTTTATTTTTATTATTTCCCTCCGCTATTTCCACGTTTGGGGTTTAAAAATAGCGGACGTCCATCTAGCGATATGAATGTTCTTACTTGCCCTACATTGTGTTCACGACCACTCGACCAACTAACAGTGGATCTTAATCAAACTTGGTCCGTAGATATAACACCATAAGACCTCAAACGTGTTAGATTATTGGGTCTTTACCATTATTATTTCCTGGAGTTATGGCGACTTTGGCTGTGTTAACTAGACTCGGCGGGAAGACTATAGCCCTTTTCTGGCTGTGAGGTCCTTAATTGATTTGACTAGTGTGTACAGTAGATATATATGTACCGTATTTATTAGTATGGTACAGTGGTAGGGTTATTATTACTGCTAATATTCTTGTTATTTGGATAACTTGAAGATTAGCCCCCAGCTTATTTCACCTGATGATTGAACACACTAACGCTGCCTGGGATAGCTTAGCTTAGGTTAGGTTATGCTAGGTTAGCTTAGATTAGGTTATGCTAGGTTAGGTTAGCTTAGGTTAGGTTATGATAGGTTAGCTTAGGTTAGGTTATGCTGTGTTAGGTTAGGATAGATTAGCACTAGGGTGGTTAATCTTGAGGTAAAAGGTTACTTACTTACATAAATTAACACGAGCTACATACAAGCAGTGAACCACCCACTCGGACAAGGCAGATGAAACAAGAGTGAGCGGTTACCAACTTAATCGTTACTGGAGAGCCGGATATGACCTAATCTGTGTAATGTAACAACTTAACCGAACAACTTAACCTAACCAAACTATCTCAGGTTTGATCAGGTCAGGGCAGGTTATATTCTATTACGTTAGGTTAGTGAAGGTTAATTTTGATTAGGTTAGGTTAGTTTAGTTTAGGTTAGGTTAGGTTAGGTTAGTTTAGGTTAGTTTAGGTTAGGTTAGGTTAAGTTAGGTTAGGTTAGGTTTGGTTAGGTTAGGTTAGTTTAGGTTAGGTTAGTTTAGGTTTGGTTAGGTTAGTTTAGCTTAGTTTAGCTTAGGTTAGTTTAGGTTAGGTTAGGTTTGGTTTGGTTTGTTTGGTTAAGTTAGTTTAGGTTTGTATTGTATTGTATGTGGCTCTGCTGCGGCTAACTGGCCATACGTACTATAACAAATCGGCCTCATGCAAACAAATCCATTTATTTTTATGATAAACTGAAACACCCTCGAGAGTTGCTCCCTTGTGGGCAGCTACTTCACTAAGATTAAATAGCAGACAAAAGATAAAATGAATCATGTAATATTTTGGTTTATTTACTACGTGTTGGGTTCAGCAGACGACTGAAATCTGGTTACACGGGACAAATTAGTAAATATTTCAGTCCGCCGCTCACAACCGTTGGTATGTCAGAAGACTTTAGAAAACGTTATGGTAGTGCTGACGACTTTGTGTGTGTGTTTTGTTACTGATGATGATGAAGTAAAGTGGCAAATAACTTTGTCCTGGGAGAGGAGAGGAGAGGAGAGGAGAGGAGAGGAGAGAGAGAAGGAAGGAAAGAATAGAAATTGGGGTGATAGCAGGTGGGCTGTCCACCTTTCTGAGGCGAGTTGGAGTGGTGGCCACACAGCAGACGCCCGCAGGTGGAGGAGGAGGAAGCTAAGCTAGCAAGGTATTCATTATTGTAATGGGTGTTAATTTATGTTTGTTAGATGGTGGTGTTATTTGTTCACATATATGTGTAAAGTGGGTCTTGTTCTTCTATGTCAGCATGGAGACTCTTGGGCCACCAGCTGTGTGTTTTAGTAGTTACTTCTTTTAGCTGGGAGAATATTGGGTCCTCCATCTCTTCAAGTTTGCTCCAGATTCTCTGCGCTTGGCTGTGTGTTCAGTGTGTTCAGTGGTTCGATATTGTAAAGTTCGTGAAGTTCTTGCATTTTGGTGGTGTATGAGGGGAGTTGTTTTGATGCTCTCCGGAAGCTTTATTTTGTACTGATTGAAGTTTAAGTTGGCTGGTTTTGCTGATCGTGCTGAGTGGTATTGGTGGGTACTCTAGGTGGGGGCGGACAGGTGCTTTGAATAGGTGTAGTTGAATTTGAGTGTCCATTTTGCTAAATCTTCGTAGTTTTGTGAGTTGTGATTGGACAAGCGTTTTGCGTTGTGATATGTGTTTTACTATGCCTGTTCTTGTTACTGTGAGTCCCAGAATTTTGCCTTCGTTGGAGTATTGTATAGATACGTTGTTGACTGTGATTGGAGCTGGGTTTATTTTGGCATTGTATATGATCATTAGTTTCTGTGTATTGGTTTGTATTTTCCACAATTTTTTTTTTTCATATTTGTTAATTTACTCAATGGCGTGGGCTGTTTTTCGTGCCATCATCTGTTTGCCCTTGCCTGGATGTCGGATGATTTGGGTGACGTCATCAGCATAAGCAATGTATTCTCCGTGTGTAGGAGGTGGCATGTCCGCCGTATATATTGTGTAGAGTATTAGCGAGAGATTACTACCCTGTGGTACTCCGCTGTATAACTTGATGCTTGAGCTTTTGTGGTTACAGTGATAATTTTAGCCTCTCTGTTGTCAAGGAAGTTACAAAGAAAAGAAGTAAAGTTTTGAGGAAGTTCTTGGTTGGGAATTTTGTATTTAAGCCCTTACTCGGTACAGAATACAGCTATTACATATAAAATTACAGAGAATGATTTCCTTTCCCGGTTTCTTCAGGGTAATATCGACACACACCCACCCTTGCCATGTTTTGTTTCGTACTCGTGAAATGTAAACAAGACTTGAAAATAGGTCGGTCTGGGTAGAGTTCCAGTACGGGAAAGAACGCCTCAAATATCACCACCGCAATTAACTGATAGTGATGAAGGCGATGTGGTGTTTTGTAGCGGCCGACAACCGATACATTTTTGGAAAGATTTCACAGTGACAGTAAGAGTCAGTGATTTAGTTCCTACTCAAGAACATGTTATCACAGTCGGTTTGTTTCAAGCGAGAAGGAGTCATTACTTATTGAAGATCAAGTAAATTTATCATTCTTCCTTTCGTAACCTAAAAGAATAATGATATAGGACTCTCAAGGAAAACTAACGGAGGCTCTATTGTGTAAAGCCATCAAAGAAAACTGATCAACTCGATGGGAAACTATAAGAAAATAAGACTTTTTGTAATTTGGTGTTCTACCGGTCGTGAAAAATAACCTAACTTACATCGTGGCATAGGAGTGATATATATTGAAGGTGATAACAAACTGTGAAGAAATGAGACATCAATCACCGTGAAATTGGGATATGTGGAGGGAGAAAAAAGGTGTTTGATTGCGAAAAATTATTTGTTCGTTTTTTTTTTTGTCATTCATCACACGCGAAAGAATTTGGAGGTTCATATTTTTCCTTGATGGACGTTCTCTCTCTCTCTCTCTCTCTCTCTCTCTCTCTCTCTCATCTTCCATACCAGAGGTGAGGATTAACTTGACAACCTGCCAGCCAGTCTTCCCGCTAACGCTCCTACAGGATATGACCTCATATTTACCGGGAAATTCTCGATAAAATAAAAATGGTCAAAATTATCTGATCATACAAAAATAAAATAAAACTTGGAAATAATAATAATAAAATCGTGATTGTGAAAGGCATCTCGACGTTGATAGGACGAAAATGAACACTACTTGAAGCTGATTTGCTGAAGTCTTGCGGGAGTATCTCGTTGGTGTTACCTTTATATGTAAACCGTAATAAATACAACTGAAAATTACAGATAACATTTCATTTGTAATTTGTTTTCCTCCACTGAGCGCGGCCAGTCTTGATTCCCAACCCTGGCAAAGTATTTACACAAGAGACTCAGAAAATTCCCTTGTTGGTTAAGTGAGAGACTGCAGTGTTGCGGTATTCCTAACATCCATTGTATCTGAAGGAAAGCTTAAAGTAACGCAAAGATTTAAGACGACCTGCTATCTTTGTTGTTGTTCCGAGTGACCTAACCTAACCTCCTCTGCCCCCCCTCCTACCCTAGACTCTTCCTTCCCTTACCGCTTCCCCCTAAAACCTTATTATATGACCTAATTATGGCAGCTGTTATGAAATTTGTTTTGTCCCGGGTTGTGTATTATGGAAAGTCACTTCTCATAGTAATCCCAGTGGCAAGTCTTATTAGTACATCGCTTGTTGGTGTACAGTTCACGTGGTCATTATAATAGTGTATACCCAGTAGAGAGTCTTATGGTCGTTAATACTTGGAAAAACAGATGGGATTTTAGATCTTGTTTGTTTATCATAGAGGATCGTGGGTGTTTAATGGACCGAATTTACATACGAGGTGTGAAGAGGGGGAAGAAAGGAGTGGGGTTAAGAAAGGGTTGGAGAGGGAGGAATAGGTGATGGAGAGGGAAGAAAGGGTGATGATGATACTAATGATGATAATGATGATGATGACCAGTATTCAAATATTATTAATAGAAAGAGAAACAGGGATTTTTAGTAATAATAATAATAACAGCATATCCCTTGTCTCCAGAAGGTGGGGTGTGACCTACGGCTGGGGTCACAGAAGGTGGTTGACCAGTGTGGGGTGTGTGGTGGTGACGGCTCCTCCTGTAACAAGCCTTCCTACTACTGGGATAAGAAGCCCAATGGTCCCTGTTCTGCTACCTGTGGTGGAGGTGAGACACACACAGACACACACACACACACACACACACACACACAGACACACACACACACACAGACACACACACACACACACACACACACACACACACACACACACACACCAAGCTAAATTGATTGAGAGAGAGAGAGAGAGAGAATGTATTTTAAGCTATTGAAGGACAGATAAAAAATATTTACATATAAGAACTGATAAAGGAAGAGAGATATTGAGAGAACCAAATAATAATTGTATAACATTAAACAGTGAAACATTAACTTATTTCTTACTCTGATCCAGGTGAACAGATTTCGATTTTATTTTATATTTAACTTTTTTTTCCACTTCGGTAATTTTAGATATTATGATCCAACATAACTATACAATTTAACTCTATTTTCTTCATAATAGATATTTCCAATTGTTCTAATACGTATTATTCTAACCTAACCTGACCTAATCTGACCTGACCTAACCTGACCTAACCTAACCTAACCTGACCTGACCTGACCTGACCTAACCTGACCTAACCTTACCTAACCTAACCTGACCTGACCTAACCTAACCTAACCTTACTAATATTTTTTTTGTTTTTGTATTATCCTTAGTAATATCTGTGTGTGTGTGTGTGTGTGTGTGTGTGTGTGTGTGTGTGTGTATGTCTGTGTGTGTGTACTAATTCATGTATGTCTATGTGGCAGGCTACCAGATGTTGTCGGCAGTGTGTGTGGAGAGGTCTACAGGCAGGCGGGCGGCGGAGGAACTTTGTGACTACACGGCTCGACCCATCCCCGTTATCCTGAACTGCAATGATGACGCCTGCCCCACCAGGTGAGTTACTGGGTACTGAGAGACCAGGTGAGGGGCACTGAGAGACCAGGTGAGGGGCACTGAGAGACCAGGTGAGGGGTACTGAGAGACCAGGTGAGGGGTACTGAGAGACCAGGTGAGGGGCACTGAGACCAGGTGAGGAGGCAGGTGAGGGGGAGACCAGGTGGGGGGGTGCTGAGACCAGGTGGGGGTGCTGAGAGACCAGGTGAGGGTGAGACCAGGTGGGGCACTGAGAGACCAGGTGAGGGCACTGAGAGACCAGGTGAGGGCACGCTGAGACCAGGTGAGGGGGCACTACCAGGTGGAGACCAGGTGAGGCACTGAGAGACCAGGTGAGGGCACTGAGACCAGGTGAGGGGTACTGAGAGACCAGGTGAGGAACTGAGAGACCAGGTGAGGGGGGCACTGGACCAGGTGAGGGGTACTAGGAGGCCAGGTAAGGGTGCTGAGACCAGGTGAGACTGAGAGACCAGGTGAGGGCTGAAGCCAGGTGAGGGGCACTGGGAGGGAGGTGAGAGGTGGGAGGTGGGGAGAGAAGGAGGGAGGAAAGGGGGATGAACGTGAGGAGAGGGAGCGAGTGGTTGTGAGAGGGAGGGAGGGAAGAAGAGAGGGAGGGGGAGTGAGGAAGGGAAGGAGAATAGGGAGATTAAGTACGGAAGGGTAGGAGAAGGAGAAGGAGAATAGATGGTACAGAAAATCTCTCTCTCTCTCTCTCTCTCTCTCTCTCTCTCTCTCTCTCTCTCACGTTGCCATAACAGCGGCCGCCGTGACCAACAAGGGATCGCTTGAATATGTTTTACTGTGAAACACCAACACAGTGTCATACTCCTTCCTGTACACAAGGGCGGAATTCTTGGCACATATTATGGTGTTTTACGGCTTTATAAACAAGGGGAAGGGAGGAGGCTCACAGCGTTTAGCTAAATGGGTCGTCTCTATTATGTTAACTGTTCTGTGGTGGAGCTGTCATATAAGTTCATATATTATCTTAAGATTATTATGAAGAAGAGGATAATGATGTAAGGTATTAAAGAGAAAGGCTGTTAACGAGTTCAGTGAAAGGAAAGCAAAGTGGGGGGGGGGTAACTCGAGAAATTTGTCTCAAAAGTAGCATTAGAAGTCTTCCTAACTCACTTAGCTTCTTCCTCTCCCTCTCCGTCTCACCAAAGTCCCTGTCTCATACAGTGTTTAATTCCCTTTCTTTTTTATCTTTCATCATTAGCGGGGAAACATTTGTGTGTGAGATCTGCCTTTGTGAGGGAGTGACTACGAGCCGTCACTTGTTGATTGTTATGATGGTACACGAACGCTGTTATGTTGGTACACGAACGCTGTTATGTTGGTACACGAACGCTGTTATGTTGGTACACGAACGCTGTTATGTTGGTACACGAACGCTGTTATGTTGGTACACGAACGCTGTTATGATGGTACACGAACGCTATTATGTTGGTACTGAACGCTGTTATGTTGGTACACGAACGCTGTTATGTTGGTACACAGACGCTGTTATGTTGGTACACACGCTGTTGTTTTGAACGCTGTTATGATGGTACACGAACGCTGTTATGTTGGTACACGAACGCTGTTATGTTGGTACACGAACGCTATTATGTTGGTACACGAACGCTGTTATGTTGGTACACGAACGCTGTTATGATGGTACACGAACACTGTTATGTTGGTACACGAACGCTGTTATGATGGTACATGAACGCTGTTATGTTGGTACACGAACGCTATTATGTTGGTACACGAACGCTGTTATGTTGGTACACGAACGCTGTTATGATGGTACACGAACGCTGTTATGTTGGTACACGAACGCTGCTCGGCGGATCACTGTAAATATTAAATAAGAAAAAACTACTATAATTCGTGATATAATACTTATTTTATATAATATAGAGTCTCTCAAAATACGTAAATAGTTCAAATAACCATTAATATCATTCCTGAGGTAATATTTTCACTGAACCAACTAACGTAGATAAATATTAGTCTCCAAATAATGTAAAAACAAACATTATATTAGGATAAAGTTCTCGTATAGATGAAGCAGAAAAGTGAATCTTACTGTGAAATATTTTCTTACAATTATTTACAGAATCTTGCGGGATATTGTAGAAGGAAGAAATATTGGCATCAACAAAAATTTCCACCGCGAAATTATTTATTACTTTGGCCAACTTTTTATCTACTAATTCATTATTTTCTTCGCCAACTTTACTTTACCTTCGCCAAATTACTTTCTTCGCCGAACCAAAGTTTTCTGTAGTTTGGTCTTAGTTGAGTCGTTTAGTCTCTATCTGGGGTCTTGGCCATAAACCCTGGTGGCCATCCTAAACCTGGCCATCATCACACATCAGGCCACCTTTCCATTAACTTCTTTCCCTGTGACTCCTCCTACTTCATGGCCATCTCCCCTCTCCCCTTCTTTGGCCACCGAACCCTCTTCTTGGCCACTTTCTCTCCCCTCTTTGGCCATCTACCCCCAGCTGGCCACCTTATCCACCTTCCTTGGCCACTTTTCCTCATCACTCGCATAAGGAAATGAAGTCTGGGGACCGAGGGTCACTTGGCCAATTATAGTGGATCGTAAAAGAAGAGGTGGTGGTGGGGATGGTGGAGATGATGGTGGAGATGATGGTGGGGATGGTGGAGATGGCCAGGCGTCGACAGCTGGCCAGGTCGGGCGAGAGGAGGAGCCAGCCAGGCGAGTTTGGTCTGACGCCGAGTGCCTGTGGTGGTGGTGGTGGTGGGAGGGAGATGAGGGAGGGAAGTAAGAAGATGAAGAGTGAGGGAGGGGGGAGGTGAGGAGGGGTTATGAGGTGTGAAGGGAAATGGGGTGAGGTAGAGGAGAAGGGGGGAGGGGGAAGGTTTATGAAATGTGTAGGGAGGAGGAGGAGGAAGATTGAGAGGGAAGAGGAACATAAGAGGATCTAAGAGGAAAATTATACCAGAAACAAAACAATAAACTCCCAAAAGAAAAAATAAATAAATAAAACCAAGCGAAATGTAGTAAATAAAATCAAAACTAGAAAATATAAAAGTCTGCCTTAGAGTACAAGAACGACAAGAAGAAAACGGGGAATTTGTAAGGGAGAACCTTTTTTTTTTTATTCTTGTCGCTGCGGGATAACAGGGAAGTAACTGCCAACTTCACAACACTAAAGAAAGTAGATAGCGTCAGTAGGCGTCTTGGCCATGTAGGGGAGAGTTTGGTGGCCCTGTGAGAGGTGAGGAGGAGGAGGAGGAGATGAGAGTACAAGGTGGATGTAATTTCCGGGGTTGTGGGGAGTGAGGGGGGAGGGGTACTGACCAACTCGGGAGCTCCGCGGTGTAAGTTGACGACGACGCGAGAAATTCTGGCGTGGCTTCATCTACCGAAATCCCATCTACTTCATTTCCTGTCCACCTCCCCGTCTACCATACACGTCTAACTTTATTTATTTTATACATGTCTATATTTCTTCTACCACTGTCATCTACTTCCTATATAATCTACGCCATATATTCTTTTTATACCATAAGATCTTACCGCCTCAGCTATCATTTTTTTCTCATACTTTCAACGTTCCAGCGTACCGAGTCTCTCTCTCTCTCTCTCTCTCTCTCTCTCTCTCTCTCTCTCTCTCTCTCTCTCTCTCCTGCAAACAAAAGCTTCACTGCAAACTATACATAAACAAGAACCATTAATATTTACAGGTACTAATTATTTCCCTGCAAATGATAGACAATTTTTTGCAGTGTTAGGTAGACAAATGTTCCGACGTGTCCTCATTATTGCAAACAAAAACATGATTGTAGTAAACCGTATATAATGTAAACACTATCAACCAATGATCACTGTAAACACTATCAACCAATGATCACTGTAAACACTATCAATCTGTGTATAGTGTTGTTTGCATATTTAGTATTGAGCTTATTTGATTTTTGTCTACGTAAACAGTACTGAACAAAACAGGACGTAATTCTTTAATATCTATGGAAACAAAGTATTAATGAACACTGCTGGACATAACTGGACATAACTCACTAAAGAACACTATTGGACATAACTGGACATAACTCACTAGAGAACACTATTGGGCATAACTGGACATAACTCACTAAAGAACACTATTGGACATAACTGGACATAACTCACTAAAGAACACTATTGAACATAACTGGACATAACTCACTAAAGAACACTATTGGATATAACTGGACATAACTCACTCAAGAACACTGTCGGACAAAATTCCTGCATCTTTTAAAATTAATTGATTTACACAAGAACAATTTTATGACACCCCCTCCCACTCTGCCCTCTCCCCTCCCACTCTGCCCTCTCCCCTCCCACTCTACCCTCTCCTCCCATCCCCACCCTCTCCCTCACTCTACTTTCCCCTCCCACTCTACCTTCTCCCCTCCCACTCTGCCTTCTCCCCTCCCACTCTGCCCTCTCCCCTCCCACTCTGCTCTCTCCCCTCCCACTCTGCTCTCTCCCCTCCCACTCTGCCCTCTCCCCTCCCACTCTGCTCTCTTCCCTACCAAAGGAAGAAGGGCGTTGAAAGAGAGGGAAAGAGTAATTAATAAGAGGGAGAGAAATGGGAGAGATGAGAGGGAGGGAAGGAGGAGAGATGAGAGGAAGAGGAAGAGAATATTGGATTAGAAGGAGGGAAGGAGGGTAAACTGAGAGAGAGAGAGAGAGAGAGAGAGAGAGAGAGAGAGAGAGAGAGAGAGAGCAACACGTCGTCACTGCTGGATTCACACAAGTTCTTCATAATCTGACTAGGCAGGATTTTCAAGGATTTCTGGTTGGGTTTCACTGGATTTGGGTCGGATTTGGCGGGATTTTAGGTCAGACTACATGGAATTCCCTCGGATTTGAGCGGATTTTTGTGAATTTTCGACTAATTGGTCTAGATTGAAAGCTTAATTGTTATTTTTTTCATATATGCTTTGGTTTTACTGCAATTTATTATACTGTATCATTTTCAGTATAATAAATTACTTCAGTTGGCCAATTAATCAAAAGCTGCTTTCCGACAAATTTTTTCATATATTAAAATTCGTTAAAGATGAGGAAATTTGTTTAATACTGGATATACCAAAAAATATTTCATAATGTGTATTTAATGTTCTCAAAATCAGTACACTGTATTTATATATTAAATTATAATACCTAATTTATCCTTCAAATGAATGATATTTACACGTAAGTTATTTATTTTATCAACGAGATAATGAAAGACAAAAAATATAATGGGAATATATTTTATACAGAGGTAAAGTGTAATAATAAATGATACAAATATAATATTCATAATTTTTTAATTTGTTTTCATCCTGGAGTGAGTTTTCAATCCGGCAAATCTGTTTTCAATGACAGATTTAAGCTCTAATAGGTTGTGACACGTCGCTTTCCAGAACTTATAAACTACATTAGGAATTTGCAGATGTCATAATTTGTTTTGATTGTAGATTATATCATTGAAAAATATCGTCAATTAGTTGGGAAATGATATATAGTTGAGCTGTGAGTCGTATTTGTTGACGCGGGGAACACCATCACCTCTTCCTTCAGTATACAAACATGACTCAATTATTTATGTTCATTACAAAATTTCAATGTTATTTCGTTCATAAATTTATTCTTTAAGGTAGGATAATAAATTTAGTTCCCTTCTCTAAGATCATCACACATACAACTTGTTTTCCTGGGTTAGTAGTATTATTTAAATACACCCAAACAATGACCACAACTTACAGAAGAAAAAAAAATCTTCATAACACCTATACAATTAATCACTAGTATACAGCTAATAACTATAATAACTAGTACCACCTACCCTCCCCCTCCCTCCCCCAGCTGGCAGACAGGAGAGTGGGAGTCATGTTCTGTCTCTTGTGGTTCGGGTTACCAGCTACGAGAGGTGTACTGTGCAGAGCCTCGCAACACTAGTGCTGTACGTGTGGGTGATCACTACTGCAGTACTCCACGCCCACGTCACCGTCAGCCCTGCAACACACACGACTGTCCACGCTGGTACGACGGCATCTGGTCGCAGGTATGACAATTCCGTTGCTCAGGTTATGATAAATAATTAAGCGTTTCGGGTAGTAAATCCTCCCAGGTGATTTAAATTTCTCAGTTCGCCAAAGATTTGTGTTTTCAGAATGTAATCCACCTATATTTTAATGACTTTATTTTGTAATATGTATGCATGTACGTTCGTATGTATGTATGTATGTATGTATTGTATGTATGTATCTGTGTATGTATGTATGTATCTGTGTATGTATGTATGTATGTATGTCTATGAATTCCCTCTTTTATTTTGTTTATAGTCGTTCTTCAGTTATTTTTAGTCACCCCGGGGACCACCTATACTTTAGTCACCCCCGGGGACCACCTATACTTTAGTCACCCCCGGGGACCACCTATACTTTAGTCACCCCCGGGGACCACCTATACTTTAGTCACCCCGGGGACCACCTATACTTTAGTCACCCCTGGGGACCACCTATACTTAGTCACCCAGACCACTCTATACTTAGTCACCCCTGGGACCACTCTTATATTTTTAGTCACCTCCTGGGACCACTCTATACTTTAGTCACCCCTGGGGACCAATTTATACTTTTAGTCACCCCCCGGGGACCACCTATACTTTAGTCACCCCCGGGGACCACCTATACTTTAGTCACCCCCGGGGACCACCTATACTTTAGTCACCCCCGGGGACCACCTATACTTTAGTCACCCCGGGGACCACCTATACTTTAGTCACCCCGGGGACCACCTATACTAACCCCTGGGGTGTATCTGGCTTACACTCAGGGTATACAGCGGCCTGGGGGTATAATTTAGCCTGTTACACCAACCACTGTAATATTTTCATTTATAAATATAATTGTATGTGTTCAGAATTATAATACGTATTTACATTTGCTTGCCTCAATTACCTTTGCTAACCTGGAAATAAGTGATTCAAGATTAAGGTTAGGTTAGGTAATGTAAGGTTAGGTTAGGTTAGGCAAGGTTAGGTTAGGTTAGGTTAGGTTAGGTTAGGTTAGGTTACATTATTTCGTCTTTGCAACAAAAATGGGTCACCGTTGTACTCAGTATTCACCATAACCCCTGAATCAACACCCTATATGGCCCTGATCGCTGCTCATAGCCTCGTAAGCTATACGACTCGCCCTATAAGTAACTTTACCTTACACGGAACAGTTGCTACTTACCCCAACACCAGGTAACTTAAGAGGATTATTTCTAGCAATATTCATCAGTCACACTGTTATGGCATGGAAGGTAAATCCCTCAAGCTGCTTCCGGCTTGTTTGTGCAGTCTACAACAACACCAATTTTCAATATAATAAAAAAATCTAACTCATGTCTGTAAAATAAAACTGAAAATCGTTAACTAGACTGACGTGTGTGTGTAAATGTTAACTCTGTGCTTCCTTGGTCAGTCTGGGAACCTGACGAACCATGACGTCAAATGAAAAGCTTCCATTGTTTTCCCTCGCTAGTGCTCAGCGACGTGTGCCGACGGAGTTCAGACGAGGGTTGTCTTGTGTCGGGACGCCCATGGCCGCTCCTCCCGCTTCTGTGACCACAACTTCCGCCCGTCTGACACACGCCCATGCCGCACGGGCGTCTCTTGTCCCCTGCCCACCACTCTCGCCCATCCCAGACACCAGCCCTACACACGTGAGTACCCGGACATGATATAGAGAATTACTCTGTTACCCATCATAGTATACTGAATTTCCTGACGTGTTTTTCCTCGTTCTTCTCGTCGTCAGCGCCATGGTGGCCCGAGGAACAGGACGTGTTGGGAAGTGAGGAAGGTGGGGCGCCTCTCATACCCCGCCCCAGAGCCCTCATTGTGGACCAGCAGCAGGTGCCTTCTGAGCCTACGTGAGTTACCCCTGCCCGTGTTCTCTCTCTCTCTCTCTCTCTCTCTCTCTCTCTCTCTCTCTCTCTCTCGTCAAAATCGTTTTCTTGATTTTTTTTGTCCTGTATAAAACATTTTTCGTGTAACTATGGATCTTTAGGTTCTCCTCCGTCTTTATATCTAAACCCAACTAAGAAAAATCATTGTGTATTAAAATAGAACTCATTACATTAGCCAAATATTATTTATATATTTATTTACCTATGTTATGTCCTCCTGTGATGATGTTTGTAAGAGTAAACGGAAAATAAACAGGGAGTTGTACAAGACTTCTGTTGGCATGATAGACAACAGGAATTAATATAGTGGAGTTGCTCTAAGTCTTCAGAGTTAACCCGGAAATCATGCTTATAATATACTAGGGTTACATACACGACTTTTTTTTATTTTTTTATTAATTATAATATAAACAAGGTGGTGTAATGAGAAACTCTTAAGCCATAAGTGGAATAAACAAATTACAGTCAATTAGAATAGAGGTTTATGACGGCAGTAAATTTTATTGGTTATATAAGTACGAGTCTAAACATTAAAGGAACAGATTTTTGCTTAATGGTGGAATGAAGTAGTTACCGACACAATAGCCAATCAAACTAATGTCTACAGTGGAGTTAGTGGTCGTCGATAATTGGTTTTATATGTAGTTTGTGGTCGAAATGCGAATTATGGACACCATGTCGACACCTTCAGTACACCCCTACACTATGTCGACACCTTCAGTACACTATGTCGACACCTTCAGTACACTCCTACACTATGTCGACACCTTCAGTACACTCCTACACTATGTCGACACCTTCAGTACACCCCTACACTATGTCGACACCTTCAGTCCACTCCTACACTATGTCGACACCTTCAGTACACTCCTACACTATGTCGACACCTTCAGTACACCCCTACACTATGTCGACACCTTCAGTACACCCCCAGGGTAGGTCCTCCCTTCCCTGGCCCTACAAATCTTCTCTCTATTGGCCCGAATACTGGCTGTGTTATCAAACCTTCCCTGACCTCCCCTCGGACCGGCTATGGTGTCCCCAGGGCGTCCTTAAACCTCTCTCTCTCTCTCTCTCTCTCTCTCTCTCTCTCCCCGTCACGGATTTGAAAATGAATAATCGCTTTATCCAGGAGTCGGAGGGAAGAACGTGAGCTGTAATCACGTTAAGAGGAGAGTTAACTTACCCAGAAAAAAAGTTGGGTTTCTTCCGCCATTCTTAAGTGTTGTTGTGGCTGGCTGGTGGTGGTAGGGGTGGTGGTAGGTAGTGGTACTGGTGGTGGGTGGTGGGTGGTGGTTGGGGAGGGGGGTAGACGGGTGGTTGTGGTGGTGGAGGGGTGTGTGGAAAGTGCTGGAAACACACACACACACCAGCCTCCCGTCTGCTGGGTGAGTTATACTGGCTTCTACCTAACCTAACCTAACCTAACCTAACCATACCATCATCCTCCATTGCCCCGGCGGTGTTGCAACTCTGGTATTTAAGAACAAGTGTTGTGTTGAGGCAGGACCAGGAGGTAAGCCACCATCTTAGAGACCATCATTTACTCGACTTCACGTCACAACACTCCATTATTCAAGTCTTGCCTATTTGATAAAGCTATACAGTACCTCTATCTATATATATATTCTATTTTTACTTGTATTATTGATGTAAAAAAATATAATACGGTAAGAGTTACATTTTAAAACTTGGTAATTGGTAGAATCAACACAGGAAGCTAAAAGAAAAACTTGATTGGTTGATGGACGTGACAGTTCTCCGCCCCTGCCCATTTCTCCGCCAATCAGTAACGAGGTGGAGGCCCAAACTTCGACTATAAGACGCTTGGAGGTCGACAGGCTAGAGTAATCCTCCCGTAGTGGAGGTGTAAGGGTGATTGTTCCTCGCCAGGCTACGGTGATGATTTTGCGTTTTCCAGGACGACGAAAAACATGGCATATTATTCCTTGATTGTTATGGTTTTATCTTGAGGAATGGCGATGGTGTCGTTGAGACTTTGAAAGCATTATTTTCTTCCTCGTCTCTCTCTGATTAACGCCATCAATGTTTATACTTCGAAATCTTATCGCAACAAATCGATTTTATCTTAACGAAACTTTACCGAGGATAGTCAAACACTCTTATAACTGTGTGTGTGTGTAATAATAATAATAATAATAATAATAATAATAATAATATATAGTGTTAAAAAGTGACGACGACATTAATACCGGAATGGGAACAAAACACAGACCAGTGATCACCGTCGATAGCCAGAGGTCACGTCCGGGTACTCAATAACATTAGTAATCAGAAATTGTCGATTTACAATGTTGCAGTATAACGACGAATCCAGTTGATTGGCTGTACCATGGATCAGCTAGTTGATTGGCTGTACCATGGATCAGCTAGTTGATTGGCTGTACCATGGATCAGCTAGTTGATTGGCTGTACCATGGATCAGCTAGTTGATTGGCTGTACCATGGATCAGCTGACTCAACGTAAACAAACACACAAACTAGCTGGACGTGTGATAAACTAACAAAAATATTTCCATAACATAAACACTTTGACTTTTTTTGTTTTGTTTTTATTAGATTTTTTAGTTTTGAACTGTTAAGGTGTGGTACTCAAGGGCTAAGGTGTACTCAAGGGTTAAGGTGTGGTACTCAAGGGCTAAGGTGTACTCAAGGGTTAAGGTGTGGTACTCAAGGGCTAAGGTGTGGTACTCAAGGGCTAAGGTGTGGTACTCAAGGGCTAAGGTGTACTCAAGGGTTAAGGTGTACTCAAGGTTTAAGGTGTGGTACTCAAGGTTTTAAGGTGTACTCAAGGGTTTAGGTGTTGTACTCAAGGGTGTAGTTATCGTACTCAAGGGTGAAGTTATCGTACTCAAGGGTGAAGTTATCGTACTCGAGGGTGAAGTTATCGTACTCAAGGGTGAAGTTATCGTACTCGAGGGTGAAGTTATCGTACTCAAGGGTGTAGTTATCGTACTCAAGGATGAAGTTAATGTAGGTCACCGGCAGCAGAGGTGTTGTGGTAAGTAGTGATACTGATGGAAGTGGCAGTAGGGGAAGTAGTGTCAGTGGTGGTAGTGGGTAGTGGTGGTGGAAGGTAGTGGCAGTAGTGGTGGTAGAAGGTAGTGGCAGTAGTGGTGGTGGAAGGTAGTGGCAGTAGTGGTGGTGGTGGAAGATAGTGGCAGTAGTGGTGGTGGTGGAAGGTAGTGGCAGTAGTGGTGGTGGCAGGCAGTGGCAGTCAGTGGTCGTTGGCGCCGGCACAACAGGCCTGGTTACCATGGCGACGTAGCGGCTCGGATGCACCATTTCCTGCGGCCTCTTGGCGCCAGGCCTGTCCCCCTCCCATACCTCCCTCTCCTTCTCCCCTTCCCTCCCTCTCCCCTTCCCTCCCTCTCCCCACATCTCCCCACCTCTCTCATCAACATCACCCCTTTGACACCTTCCTCTCACTCAGTCCTTGTGGCTAAAACTCCACAGATTTACACTTAGTTAAACTTAGTCAGGTTAGACCGCGTCCCAACATCCGCCACCCGACTTCCACTTCACCTTCCCTGCCTCCCTCCTCCCCCCCTACACACGCCCCAAATTGTGACTCCATCCCCCCGGCCAGGCGCCAGCTGAGGACGGGCGGGCCCCACCTTGGATGACGACACACTGTAAGACACGGCCGGTCACGTCTCACTCCAGGACTGATATAGTTACGGATGGCTTGGAGGGTTGTGGCAGTGTCCTTCCTTCCTTCCTTCCCTCCCATCTAACCCCCCCCTCCTCCCTTCCTTCCCTACCCTTCTTCCCCATCCTTCTCCTCCTTCGCTCTCTTCTCATCTCTCGGACGCCAGATGGAATCATTGAAGGTCTGTCTAAGGCTTTTTCTGGCGCTGTTATATTTATTCGTGAGAGAGAGAGAGAGAGAGAGAGAGAGAGAGTAAACGGAAGGTGATCCCATTTTCTGTATCTCTTCCAGCTACCCCTTCCTACCCTACCCCCCCTTATACCCCTTCCTACCCCCCCCACCTTTCTACCCCCAAACCCACTACCCCCCTACCTCTTCTCCCAACGAACTAACGAACTTTTACAACAGTCAACCATACATACATCATCAGCCTCCGCGTGGTCTGTTATTGGTCAAGGTCGCGGGCTTGTATCGACTGTGACGTCATAACTTCCTCCTCCCTCCCTCCCCTCCCTCCTCCTCCCCAACCCATTTCACTGAATTGAATTGAAACAGTTTAT